TAGAAGTGTGGAGAAAGACTTGTTGAAATTGGGTCCCAAATGGGCTAAGAACTCAGAAACATTGCGTTGAACCACTAAATGACTTATATAGTGTTGTTTGGGATTAGAATATGTTAGAATACAATGAATTTTATTGATTACAAGTGCTAGAGATGCATGAAGAGTGTTTAGAAGTGTGTAGAAATATTTGCTGAAATTTGGTCCAAAATGGGTAAGAACCCAAAACCATTGCTTTGAAGCATTAAATGGCTTGTCGAGTGGTTTTTGGGGTTAGAATATGTTAGAATACAATAACTTTGATTTATTACAAGTGCTAGAGATGCATGAAGATTGTTTAGAAGTGTGGAGAAAGACTTGTTGACATTGGGTCCCAAATGGGCTAAGAATCCATTAATATGTCTTTGGAGTAGTAAATGGGTTGTCTAGTGTTGTTTGGAGTTAGAATATGTTAGAATACAATAAATTGGATTGATTACAAGTTTTAGAGATGCATGAAAAGTTTTTAGAAGTGTGGAGAAAGACTTGTTGAAATTGGGTCCCAAATGGGCTAAGAACTCGAAAACATTGCGTTGAACCACTAAATTGCTTGTCTAGTGTTGTTTGGGGTTAGAACATGTTAGAATACAATAATTTTGATTGATTACAAGTGCTAGAGATGCATGAAGAGTGTTTAGAAGTGTGTAAAAAGGCTTGTTGAAATTGGGTCCCTAATGGGCTAAGAACCCGGAAACATTGCGTTGAACCACTAAATTACTTATCTAGTATTGTTTGGGATCAGAATATGTTAGAATACAATAAATTTGATTGATTACAAGTGCTAGAGATGAATGAAGAGTGCTTAGAAGTGTGGAGAGAGACTTGTTGAAATTGGGTCCCAAATGGATTAAGAACTCGGAAACATTGCGTTGAACCATTAAATGACTTATCTAGTGTTGTTTGGGGTTAGAATATGTTAGAATACAATAAATATGATTGGTAACAAGTGCTAAGGATGCATGAAAAGTGTTTAGAAGTGTGGAGAAAGACTTGTTTAAATTGGGTCCCAAATGGGCTAAGAATCCATAAACATGTCGTTGAACCGCTAAATGACTTATCTAGTGTTGTCTGGAGTTAGAATATGTTAGAATACAATAAATTGGATTGATTACAAGTTTTAGAGATGCATTAAAAATGTTTGGAAGTGTGGAGAAAGACTTGTTGAAATCGGATCCCAAATGGGCTGAGAACTCGGAAACATTGCATTTAACCACTAAATGACTTATCTAGTGTTGTTTGGGGTTAGAGTATGTTAGAATACAATAACTTTGATTGATTAGAAATGCTAGAGATGTATGAAGAGTGTTTAGAAGTATGGAAAAAGACGTGTTGAAATTTGGTCCCAAATGGGCTAAGAACTCGAAAACATTGCGTTGAACCACTAAATGACATATCTAGTGTTGTTTGG